CAGATCGGATTCATTTCAAGTTATCATCTTGTGTTTCCTTTCATTCTTTTGTCTTACTATTTTGGTGGACATGTCAAGAAAATTACGGAAAGATGAAACGAGCGACCCACGAATTTTTGCCTAATTTGCAAGTGGTTTTCCGGAACTTTTCCTCTCCTGCAATCTAAATTTTCTACTGACCACTAACTGGACAAAACTAAACACTTCTATCATCATCAAAGTCAAATTTCCATCTGCCACAAAACCTCCCATGCACTGGAGAAAAGCGAGAATATGGAATATGGCAATTTCCTCGGAAGGAGCAAAAAGTTTTTGAAATTTCATGAATAACAATAATATTTCACATGAAAACGGAGCCATTTCTCACAAACAGCTCTGGTAGAAAAGGCAGTAAAGTCGATCAATAAACCGAGAACTATACATGGCTGACAAAAATCGATGAATTCTCGGAATTATACATAACCCACAAGAATCACATCCTCAATTCACGGAATTCACTGCGAACCCTCGGGAACTCACGAACATTCTCAGACAACCGCATGTGCAATCTTCGCATCCGCACAAAAACTAAGTCCATGCGTAAATTGGAAGATAGCCTCTGGAGATGCTACCCCTCATCCTGCCACTGATCGTCAGCCAACAAAAAACTGCTTATTTCAATAGATTACGATAGCTGGCAATCTTCCAAAAATTTGAATTATGGCTAGTTCACAATGCTTTTGTCCGTAAGCCAGTAAATGTGAGGTGATCTGCATGATACAAATCCATCTCAACTAACAACGTGCGTAGGTGGTTGACTTACGTGACTCGGTAATAACGTGCGAAAATTTTTATATGAATATAAAATATTTTAAAAAAAGTCGGCTACCAAAACTTAAAGTGATTTATGACCCAATTAGCGTTTTAATGTGAACAGAAGTGTTATGCTCTGAGAATTATTTTGGTTGGTAGACGTGAATTATGCCATTGCTTTTGTTATAATGTGCTTCAATAAACGTTCGTTAGAAACATTTTATCTGATTGGTCGCTAGTACGATGCTTTTAAATTACAATTCCAATCGATGATTATAGACGGATAGAAAACTTGTAGAAAACATGAAGCTTCAAGTTATACTGCCCGGCGTATTCGACAACACTTAGCTACAATGATTTCTTGTCTCAAGGGATTCCCAGACTAAATCTCACGATGGATTTGGTTAGGAGTAGAATGTTCTAGACAATCTTAGTTTGTTATCGGAAATCACATACTCCACTTTCTGATCAACGGCTGTCACAGAGCAGTAACTATGTGATAGAATGTTTATAATGTATGCGATACAACTGCGAGTTATTTACTTGTTCAAAACAGGCTAAAGAATGATTAAGTTTGATGCTTGAACTGTTCCAGGTGGTTATTTGTTAAATAAATTTTTGTTACTTTAAAAATTTGGCAATTTTTTGGGAGTGATTCTCTAACTGATAAATTGCCATTATTAGTATCCCATCGATTCCACAAATGAACGAACTATGATCTGTGTATTCGGTTAGGATTACAAGATTCCTGTGTTTGTTTTTTACACTATGGTTGTGTGCACTTAGTGTGTTTACGGCATCGTCAATATTAGTATTCACTACACCTATCAGTCCACCCTTACTCCTAATTTCTATACTTACTTTCTATAGCATATTTTCTACAGATATTTTTTATAGTATTTGTTGAATTATTCATTTTGAAACATAAAAAAAATAAAAATTCACTAATCTTACTAAGCAGTGGAGTAACTGTAAGGTAAAGTTCTGAATTATGTTCATTGCGTTGAAAAAAAATCTATTGTGAGCTATGCGTAGATGCAGCGAAAAAATTATGTTGGACATTTTAGTATTATGTCACTGTCAATTATTTTTAATTAGTAAAGATTTTACTGCTTGGGAATTTTACCGTGAAAAGTTGAAATTCGGGATATTATTTATTTAGAGAAAAACAAAAAAATGCCGAGAACGAATGTATGTTCAGAAGTAACAATATCAAATATCCGACTGGCAGTGCGTCAGGTAGTTGCTGACTTTTGTGCTAGTCCAGAGCGAACTGTTGAAAACATCATGAATGCTCGATTTGAGTGAGTCGTTCACAAAATTTTGGATTGAATTTTAATTTAGTTTGGTTTGTAAATTTGTGGTAGATCATTCTACTTATGCTAGCAACAGATAAGATTTTTTCCAACCGACTTTTAGCATAATGGTCATGTATCATTTTTGCATCATTCAAATGCAAGGTTTTAGAAATTTGGTTGAACCGATTCAGCAGCTCATCGCAACTCGTCTTGAACGTATATATGAACAAATACAGGTTAGTGATGAAGACTTTGACTTTTTGATTCCGACATTATTTGTAGTTATTTCAGGAGACATCTTGCCCTCAGGACGGACTCATATACAACTTAATCTAACGTATTTGGAATTGTACAATATCTCGCCTGAGACGAAGGAATAATGATTTGGAAAAATGTTGGGAATGATTATGCTAATATTTTAAACAGCGACAAAAAATACTATTAGTCTGCGCTATAGCCTTATTATTAGTTTAGTTTATATATTTCAGTACAGCATATTATCACCCTCAAACGAACCACCCTCATCTCGATCTGTATTGAGATTTTTAAGCGAGCATAATGATGAATCGGAAAAAGATGTTATCCAACGTTTTGGTATGATTTATTTCTGCATATAAATTGATAAAATTAAACTACAAGTTATACCGTCTTCAATAACCTGGAAATAGGGAGCTTCTCTGCTTCACGTTGTTGCGCTATTGAAAAATGGTCTGGCATATCAAGAAGCTAAATTCAAAAGAATCATGAGTTTGAAAACAGTCACAATTTCAAATCTTGCATATTTCGCTTAAAAAATTCAGTTCTAATATTTATTTTCATTAGTTCTCATCCTCATCCTGTAACATGGACTAGAATCTTATTTTCTTATCAAAGATGAAACATAGATGGCGTGGTGAACTAAGGACAGCCTTCTTAATTCATGTTATGACTCAAAGTGTTAGTATTTCACATATGTTTCATTTTGGCATTCTTTTATTTAAAAAAAATTCTTTGGAAAATATTGAATTTGAATCAGTATTATTCTAGTATTGTTTTCGCGATCTCTTCTTATTTCTAGAAGATAAAACTTCATCACGAGGACATATCCATGAACAATGGCAGAAATTAAGGATTCCTCCTCCATTGCCAATTAATCCTGCTTCCCCAACTGTCATTCCGCGTTTGGAAAATCTTTCGAGCGATCATTCATCGAGGTTAGCAGATTGTAGCAAAAATTCGCATATTCATGTTGGATTTTTGTTTTTTTTGTAAAAGATTTCTTTGTTCCCAGGAATAGTACAAGTGACAAGCGTCGAAAATCAGCCAAAAATGTGCAGAATTCAAATTCTTTTCCTTCCTCAAAAAATACTTCTTCAACCACGTCGTCTACATCAAGCAATTTGTCATTACAATCTGGTGATTCACTGCTACAACCACTTCAGGAAAGCGGACGCAACAGACTAAAACTGTTCTTATCTGGAAGGAAGGTATATCTGTTTTTTTAAATTTTCATAGTAGCTTTTTCTGGTTTCTTCAGCCTGTTGACAATTTTTGGTGGAAGACAACTTTTTGATTATTAAGTTTTGACGTTTGACGGTTTTATTTCTAAAGTAATAACATTATTTCTTGGTTCTCTTGAATCATATCCTAGGAGAGGCCTATCAACGGAATCTTTATCAACGAGATTTTCTTCAGTAAGAATTCTCGTCTGTACATTAGCATTCCTTACAACCAAGTTTTTAAAAGTGTTTCTGATTTTTTTAGTCGAGTACCACTTCGTCCTGCAATATTACTGAACGACCACCTTCACACATGGCAACTAATAGGGATGCAAATGTGAATGATGGAGTTTTGGTGAGAATAAGGAAAGCAGCCGATGATGCACTTCCTGTTGTTTTGGATGAAGAATTCGTACCGAGTGTTCCATCGTTAGAAACCGCCATATATCCAACGTTGGCAAATGTTGGTTTTATATCTTTTTTTATTATTTTTCCCTAATTAGAATTTATTACTTCATGTTTGTCTCTTAGTTTCGGCCTTGTTTTAAACGTAACGTTGAAGTTATAACTTTGCCACCTTTTTGGTTGTTAGATATATGGTATAAGGATCTTCCCTGCTGTTCACGCCATGGTAAAACTCTCTATTTAATGTTTTTTTTCTTTTAATTATTGTGCGAAGTTTCAAGTTAAGATCGTATATTTGACCATATGTGATATATGGAAGGTCCATTTATTGAAATCTTCATGAATGTAAAGTAATTATCCTTATTTCTTAATATTTATAATTTTTAGGAAAAATCAAAAATACCAACCAGTTTATGCTCGTCGTTACGTTCGGATGATGACAAAGTGACAGTGCAGTTTTTTCCAACAAAAGTTCCGACAGCAGATGCAGCAGTTTCTACCGACCCTGCGTTTATGGATAATCAATCAGTAGAGAAAATTGAAGTTGGTGTCAATACTATTATAGAAATGGGTGGCAACTTGGCGGATGGTAGTTCAAGTTCAAATACAACCTCTGATAATAGTGCCGGACAGCTACCGAAGCGATTATTTGATACTGTTCTTCAGAGGTTAATTATTGCTCAAATAATGTTAGGCATTTCGACAATAAAAATTTCTGATTTTCTGAATGACTTTTATTGGTCCATGCTTATTTTTCTAATCGGAAATTCCTGAAAAATATTACTAAAGAATATTATGAATAATTTTTATAGGCCTTCGCTGAGAATTGTGTCGCTGCGACCGGATGGAAGTATTGTTCCCACAGTTAATTCGGCATCGCATCATTTTCCCAGTGTCCGAGAATGGATACCAGTGGCAAATGAAGAGAACGGCGAGAAATCAGTTTTAGCTTCAGAAGCAGAAATTTGCGATGTGGCAGATGAATCAGACCCAGATTATTCAGGAGGGAATGGAATGAGATTAGGTAGTAGCATTTTTCTCATCTTACAATTCGTCATTTAAATTTATTTCTTAGAAATTTATCTGGCGATATATCGTTACTGATATTGATAAGACTTTTCTGCTTTATGCAATTTTGACATATGTTTTCATATCTTTAGTAGAATTAGTGATAGTGACCTGTTGCTATGATCAGTAGCTTATTTATTATCCGTGGTATTAACAGAATTATTTTTCATTTTCTTACCAAAACATCAAATGATAATGGTATAATTTATGTGGACAATCGTTTTCAACCAATTCTAAACTTTTCTTCTTACATCAAGTTACCAATTCTTTGTTGTAGATTCTTTGATGTTAGCAACACTATTCCTACTTTAGACAGTGTCTCAGCATCGATATCACGACCTGACCCGTTCGAAGAAGATTTAAATACTCTGGCGAACATTTCACCGCTTCCACATTCTTAATGTATGGAGCATTTCTTGCGTAGTTGTAACTTTTTGCTCTTGCTATATAATGGGTGGCTTTGTCACTTCCATTCATTCAGTTTGATTGCGCTGAGCTTCATTACTTTTTCTGTCCTTTAATTTCTCTATATTTTTTTGTTAGATGTTGTAATTCTAACTTTTTAACTGAAAAGGCGAAGAGAGAAAGGGAATAAATTTTGGAGAGAGGAGGAAAGCAAAAAAGGGAATAAAGAGGAAAGAAAGCAAGAGGAAAGGAAATAACATGATTTGGGAAATAACACTAGAAATTTGTGTTTTTCATGACATTTAAAAGTCCGAAACTTGTCAAGACTAAAAGATGATAAACAAATAGCATAGCATGTGTTCATCATTTAAAAATTGGCAGCCGAGGAAGAACGCCTCTCCCAGAGCCAACCCGTCTGAACATTCATTCATTCATCCATGCTCTTTCCATTCTGATCAACAACTGGTTTGAGGAATTTGACCAAAGGAGGGAGTGTTGCGTTCGGCATGACACCTCCCACTTCATACGTTTTTCTTCCAAAGTGACAAAAGTCAGACTCTCTTAGTATGCCGACCAACATTTTTTTTGTTTTTTGTCCTGTCTCGAGCTGATTCTCCGGGATGCTAATTATGTAAAGAATGAGATTTAAAATTTTAGACACAAAATTCAAACTTTATTTTATGGAAATAAATCTGAGCATATTTGACAACTAGCTCTTTTCCATTTCCATATTTACATTTTCCATAGTTTCTTTAATAAATTTATTCATATATCCGTGTACATTACTTTTCATCTAAATAAAGTCCGTCAAATTTTAATAAGCAGTTTATTAAGTTGATTTGTTTCATTGACTGCAATATTTTGCACACTTTATTATAACTTTAATATACTGCAGAACCGGTCATTTGATTTTAGGTGGCAGTTTTGAAACGCAGTTAGACAAATACCTTTTGACTTCAGTCTTTTCATAAAGATTCTATCTAGCTAGTAACTGATACTGATGTTGTTTAAATAACAAGATCCGAAAATCATCTTACCATCTTACAAAGGTCTAGAAAGGAAAAGGTGAGTAACTGGATAAACATTTATCTGGATTCATGTATATAAACTGGTATGCTTTCTTTTTTTTTTTTGTTTTAAGACCGGTTTTTAAGTTTAAACATTCTTATTTTCTGCTCAGATTTAGAGAGAAAATTTTGAATTTTTGACTTTAACTCTAAGTATGTCTTCTTTTTTTGCTGTCAGAGAAGAATCTAATTAAGGATTGAACTTATTCGAAGGAGTCTCACGTATAGGACGGGATGAGTACA